TTTGGACCACAAAGCTACCTGCACCTTCACTTGCTCGCAAAGAGCTTGTATATTAGGAATGGCATCCTTAAATAAGCATTGGTTTCTCAACCTCCAAACTGACCATAAAACTACAGAGGGAATAATCTTCCAAACTTTGAGTACCCAGGACTTGAGATTATGTCGGCCCCCATTCCACCACTGCACCAGACCTTCTATAGAACCTGGAATTGCCCATGACTGATCCCACCACTCAACCATGTGAGACCAGCACTTCCATACCAAAGGGCACATCAGAAGTACATGTTCAACAGTTTCCACTTCCGCTTGGCAAAAAACACACAAGTTACTAGCACCCAAATGAGCAGCCCCTATTCTTTGAAGGAATGATGAAGTTTTAACTCTGCCACGCCAAGCCAACCAGCAAAAAAATTGCATCTTTGGAGGGGCCAAACTCTCCCAAACCCCTGCTGGGACTACTAGATTATTCCCACTAGCTGCAGCCCTCCATCTCCATACAGAGGCAACAGTGAACTGACCCGACTTCTCTGCTAACCATGAACATGAGTCCTCAACCCCATCTCTAAGCCTAGGAGTGAATAACAGCATACCTACCAGCCTCTGCAGCTCCTCTTCCTCCCAAGCTAGTAGGGGCCTTCTGAATTGAAGCTGCCACCTACCTGAGGCACCAATCTTTGCACACATCTGCTGTAGGGTATCCTCCTTCTCTATGGATAAACTAAACAGCCTAGAAAATTCAGCCTTCAGCCCTCTGCCCTCTAACCATGGATCATACCAAAACTTTATCCTCCTCCCATTGCCAACAACTATTTGAACCTGTTCTCCAAAAAATTCTCCCAATTGCTGATTAACCGACGAAAGTTGGGAAATATCTTTCCAAACCAGTGAGACCCCTGCTGGATGATTCAATGCAGGAGACCATCCCCCACCACTTTTACCATACCTAGAGCAAATTACGTCTTTCCACAGAGCTGTGTCCTCACTACCATACCTCCACCACCACTTTAGTAACAAGCATTCGTTGACCACACCTAAGTCCCTTATGCCCAAGCCACCTTGATTCTTACCTTTCGTAACCTCTCTCCATTTAACCATGTGCACCTTCCTGCTGGTTGCGGAACTACCCCAGAGAAAGTTTGCTTGAATCTTAGATATAGCTTTTACTATCCCCTTAGGCATTTTAAAGATTGACAAGAAGTATAGAGGTAAATTAGACAAGGCCGATTTGATCAAAGTCAATCTACCTGCAAACGACAACAATCTCCTTTTCCAAGAAGATAGTTTCTTCTGAAATTTCGCCACCACAGGATCCCAAGTGCTCTTCCTTCTAGGATTTGCTCCGAGAGGCAAGCCTAAAAAATTAATTAGCAATTTATTAGGCAGACAGTTGAGCACCTTTGCGAACTCCTTGGTCTGATCTTCAGTAAAACCCACCCCACAAACCACACTTTTGTGGAAATTAATCCTTAATCCAGAGATCACCTCAAAACACCTCAAAACTCTTTTAATATTGATGACATCTTCCATGCCTCCTTCACAAAAAATGATGGTGTCGTCAGCAAATTGAAGATGAGAGATGCCCATCGGATTAGACCCTACAGATGCTCCCCTAAATAAGCCCTTCTCAATAGCCCTACCCAACAAAAGATTAAGGGCTTCAGCCGCTATAATGAACAAAAAGGGAGATAGAGGGTCACCTTGCCTTAATCCCTTTCTGTGGTTGAAACTCCACTGATGGTGAACCATTAACTAATACAGACACCATGGTTGTTGTAACACAAGTTTTCATCCACCTAATCCACCTCGCCCCAAAACCAAAATTCCCCAACATAGATAACAAAAAATCCAAACTTAACGAATCATAAGCTTTTTCGAAATCCAACTTCAAGATAATTCCCTTCCTCCTACCTCTGTGCCACCCATCTACAACTTCATTGGCGATCAACACTCCATCCAATATATGTCTACCACTAACAAACGCTGACTGCACCTCACTAATCACCGTTGGGAGAACCAGCTTTATTCTTTTAGACAACACCTTGGCCAAAATCTTGTATATGGAACTGACCAAGCTAATAGGTCTATAATCACCTAACCTTGAAGGACTATCCCTTTTAGGGATAAGAACCATGAAGGAGCTATTAATCCCATATGATAGCTTAGCATTAGTGTGAAATTCATGAAATAGTTGAACAATCTCACTTTTCATAATGGACCAACATTTTTTGATGCTAGCCAAATTAAAACCATCAGGACCGGGGGCCTTGTTCCCATCACAATCTTGAATAGCTACCCAAATCTCAGCTTCCGTGAATTCTGCCTCCAATTTAGCTGCTGCCTCTGAGTTAATAACATTAAAAGGGCCCGAAAGCTTTGGCCTCGCAGACCAACACTCCTTAAACTGCTTGCTAAAGTGCCTCACCACAGCCTGTTTAATCTGAGCAGGTTCCTCCAAGCACTCCCCTTCCACACACACTGAGTCCAACAAGTTCTTTCTTTGTCTACTGCAAGCCATAATGTGGAAAAACCTAGTGTTCTTATCTCCATTTTGGGCCCAGAGCACCCTGGACTTTTGATGCCACAGCCTTGCTTTATCTCTGCATAATTTCCACACCAGACTTTTAACTTCTCTTCTACTTCTAATACCTGCATCATCCAGAGACCCAGACTCTGCCTGCAAATCCCACTCATGTAACTCCTCCTCAGCAGACTTTAATAGAGCGTCAATATTTCCAAACACCTCCTTATTCCATATCCTTAGATGGGATCTTAAATCACTTAGTTTCCTCATGAGTCTAAACCCAGCCCAACCTGACACCTGATTATTTTCCCAAATCTGTTTGACTGTAGGCATAAATGAAGGGTGAGCTAACCATGGATTTAAGAACTTGAATGGTTTGGGTCCCCAATCCCTTTCATCTTCCTTCAATAGAATAGGGCAATGATCTGATACTGTTCTAGGTAAACCCCATTGCTTAAAGGAGAATATTTCTAACCACCTAGAATCCAGTAGAAATCTATCAATCCTACTCCATCTCTCCCCTTCCACTGCATTGCACCATGTGAACTGCCTACCTAGCATAGGTAAATCTGATAGTTCCAATTTGTTAATAAACTCATTAAAATCCTTCATCCCCCTCTCCCGCCTGGAGCACCCTCTCCTCTCACTAATGAATCTGATTTCATTGAAATCCCCCCCCACACACCAAGGGTTTGGATAATGGGGAAAAACATCAATCAAGACCTCCCAAAACTTTCTCCTAGCTACACCTTCATTTGGGGCATAAACATTGACTATGGTACACATAAAAGAAGGGCTAGATATACCTGATAAAAGAACGAAATTCTTACTGCAACAGCAGTCAGTAAGCTTAAAAACCTCTGGCCTCCAGATGCTCAAAAGACCACCGGCATAACCTTCCGAATCCACTCCCATAAACTCCATCTCTTCATAAGGCCATATAGACTTCACAAAACTAGCATCCACCGAACTTCTCTTAGATTCTTGCAATAATAAAACATCCACATTCCGCTCCCTCACCAGCTGCTTTATTTTCCCCCTTTTTTCTAATCTACTCAGCCCTCTAACATTCCAAGATAAAATGTGCATGGATATACTGAATTATCACCCTTTTTTCCCCAGAATACATTCTGCTATCTTCTATTTGCCTCACCTGCAAGTCTTTCCACATCATTTTTCTCAAGCTCCACTATTTTGTTCACAACGTCTTGCTCTCTGCCCTGGTACTGCAGCCCCAGAATTGCTCCCACCTTCAAAGTTGACTTTGCTTCTTCAATTAAATTCCTTCTACTACACCTCGATTGATTTTGGGATGATGACAAAGAGGAAGCTACAGCTGCAGCCGTGGCTCTGAACAATGATTATTCTTATAAAAATAAATAAAGAATTTTATGTCAGTGAAATAAACAAAAAAGAAATTATACAAGCATGAAAGATTCTTGAGTTACAACCCCCGCCATCAGAAGTTTTGGGTTGCACTCCATCACATACCACATTTTGCATAAAATTTTTGATCTTTTGTCCTAGATTGTTATTCACATCTGGCATTCTCTCTCTCTCTCCACTTCCAATCTCAAATCTTAAAGGTCATGTTTGTTTGGGTGGATATGAGTTTGGGATTAGACTAATAGTCCAATAAAATTATTAATCCGATGTTTGGTTAAACAATTGAAGTACTGATTAGTTATTTTAAACTTGACTATTAGTTAAGATAGGATACATAATCCAACGGATTGGTAGTCCTAGGACTATTAGTCATGGGAATACTAATCCAGTCCGCCCAAACAAACATGGCCAAAGAGTATTATTATTCAGATCCAATACTTAAACTTAGTTTCTAAACTCAATGATATATAATACTTTATTAAAGGAGGAGGATTTCCTCCAGTCCAAAATCTAAATTGGAGGGAACTGTCTGAGCTCGTAAGGCGTATTATGAGTCTCATTTCAATAATCCAAACATTTTTTTGTTAGGCATTTCGTATATGTCATCAAAAAAAAAAATTAAATTGATCCGACAATTGCAACTTGTTTAATTTATTATTTTTTTCATCAAAAAAATATATGACTTATTTTTTAAAAATACAATCATCGTCCATTTTTTTAGTGAAAAATACTATAAATTGAACATGTTATGGTCATCAGAAATCGATCTAATTTTTTGTGAGGAAGAAATATACGAAGTGTCGAACAAAATAAACCGTTCAAATTATTAAAATGGGACCCGCAGTAGACTCCACGGGCCCAAACAGCTCCTTAATCTAGATTTTGAACTAAAAGGAATTCTCCTCATTAAATTATCTAAGTCAACTTTCTATCTCTTCTATTCTCTAATTATTAATCAACATCTTATTTACACATTAGACATAAAAATAAATCTAAAAAGTAGATTTATTTATCATTTTCCAATCTTAAATGCAAATAAAGCTTGAGTGTTGATCGGAGTGGGATATCAAACCACTTATGGAGAGGGAATTTCTAATCTGAAAAACACACTTATATTTGACTCAAACAAACAGAAACAAATAATAACTTACAAGAGAAGAAATTATTCTCTCTCAGACTCTCACTCCCTTATTCTTCTTCTTAGTCGCACACTTGCAACTCTGAAATACATATAGATAAACTTGACAATATAAAAACATTAAATACAATACAACAATTTCATTCAAACTTATAGTGACTTGCAGCGATTATTGAACCCATGTTTTCAACTTCTTGCTCCAACTTCTAGCTAGGAAGGTGGACAATCAAACATACTTCATAACACTGAATGCATATCATGCAACTCTCTCACAGTTCCATATTCTACTCCGTAATAGGTTAGGAGTGCGTAGACTGTCTGCACCACTGCAAGGGCGAACAAGATAAAGGCTGCAACAACAGCGATAACCGACCACGGGTTAGAGAAGTAATCGCGTTTCAACGACGTTATAAATCTCGGCCACAGACGCCTGCAGTGACTCTCCGCATCATTGCGCGGTTTTTCAAAATCGAACTCTTCTAATACAGCATCCTTGCAGATATTGTTGAACAGAACCGAGGCATCTTCACTGGCACCCAAACAATTATTTATAATGTTATTCTTTTCGAGCAATTCGACATCAGCAGCAGAATCAATGAGCGAATCCATAAGAAAGGCATAAGATGTGATGTGACGACGCTCAATGGAAGGACAACACTGCTTGAAAGCAATGAGGTTTCTCAGTAAGGGCTCTGTGCTGTCGTAAATATATAACGGTGGGATTTTGAACTTAGCACGACTACACCACCATAGAAGTCCGGAAGCTTCTTTGAAGTCGACGCCGGTATCGGGCTCAAACTTGACTCCAGCACAATCGAGGTCCGATGCGCGATGCGAGAAGTGGGAAGGTTTTGGAGCATTGTTAGGAAAGATACGTCGGAAGCAACTGTGTATAAGATGGAGTATATGAAAACACTTATCTTCTTCTGGATTTACATGGTTAGAAGAGATAGGTAGGAAGCAACTGTGTATAAGATGGAGTATATGAAAACACTTATCTTCTTTTAGATTTATGGTTGTACTTTGAAAATAATCATCATTGATATTCATCACATTGCGAAAGAATGATAGGACAAACTGGGTAAGGGAAGGGCATGATGACCGTGGATGATCTGGGATAGTTTTGATGGTTTTAATGAACAATTCCTTAAGGATGAAGAAGGGAAGCTGGTTCTCGAGAAGTAGCAAGTCGGAATATAAATTTGAATGTTGTTATAATAGAGAATTTTTATTATGTATCTAATGACTAGAAAATAAAAATGTAAATCTATAATTATTTTAAACTAAAAAAAGATCATTACATTCACTATTGAATTATGTAATGGAACCTTTCCATTACAAATATGTAATGGAGAGGATCACAGTTCCTACATAAGAGTCTCTTTTATATTTTCTCTTATCATTAACCAATTATATTACTCACACATTATTCAATTTAAAAAATAGGTATAAAAAATAAATTTGTATATCATTTTTCTATAAATTCAGTCCCGTAGTTTAAATAACTTGTCAATCTAACCCTCCTAGTTTTTTCTTTTTTTTTGAACAATTTCAACTCTATTTCAAATGAAAAAAGATACAAGGCAACAGTAGATGAATCAAAATTGAATTCCGAAAAAATTATAAATTGTGGTGTAACAAATAAATTATATCAACTGTTTTTGTAATTTTTTTTTTAAATTTCACTTTAGTCCTTCTAATTTTATAATTTTTTTGGATTTAAAATTCCAATCATAAGTGATGAAGAGATCACATTATAACAAAAACTAAAAATGTACAGTTTAAATTATTCAAATTAAAACTATAAACATCAACTTGAAATTCACCCAAAATAGACAGACCAATAGTTCAATTTACCTTATAAAAGGAATGACAATTATATTGGGAAAATTATTAAAAATAAAAAATAATAAAAAATAAAAAACTTCAAAATTTGGCATTTCTAACAAAATATCTAAATTTTTAATTTTAGGACAAATTATGACGGTAGTCACTGTATTTTAATATTTATGTCATTTTGGGCCCTATAATTTTAGTTGGCACTATTTTGACCTTAAATTTATGATTTTTTTCTCAATTTGATCCAATTGATTACATTTATTAACATTTTTTTTTATGAAAAATACATACATAAGTGGCATGTATTATGTTTTTAATGACAAAATTATAAACTTACTCAACTTAGTGAGTAAATTTTTACCAATTTAGTGATAATTTTTCATCAAAAACACTAACGACATTATCAATTATCAATTAGACCAAATTGACATATAATTTAAAATTAAGAGTCAAAATTGAGCTAATTGAAAATATAGGGATCAAAGTGACACAATGGGTAAAATATGATGTAATTTGTCCTTAATTTTATCAATTTAAAATTTAATATTTTGATTTGTTTTCAATATAAACAATTAACTTATTTTTGTGAAGTAAAATTGATGAAAAAATAAATGATATTTTAATTATTAAAGACATAGTTACCAAAATACCTCTAATAATAATATTGACATTGAAATGGGAATTTTCGCACTGTCAATGTGAACATTCACATGTCAGTGCGAATATTCATTTTGTAACATATGAATGCTCACATCACCAAGTTACTAACCGTTCAAAACATATTTGTAAAGATAAAATTATCCATAAAATATCTCAAATATGAAAATTAAAATTTAGTAGATCAAATGTAGAAATAATATGACTTATTGAATTACAAGCATATATTATGGACTAATTAAGATACAACTATTTAAAAAAGAATTTCCTAATAAATCTTCTAAAAAGAATACTTTACACATTTTATATACATTTACGTTGAGTTTAATAATTAAAATACTATTTTTTTGATCGATTTTAGTTAACATGATAGGGTAACGGTTTATACTAAAAACAAATAAAACTTTTAGAGTTTAAATTGATAAAATTAAAAATTTATTTTATTACATGCCTTGAGTTTTTTTTCTTTTTTTTAAATAATTTTTTCATATTATTTTTATATCCAACTATAACTAACAAATTACTAATGAAAATGATGTCTATGTAAATTAAAACTTTAACTAAGCACAATATGATTGTGTTAAATTTATAGAGCTTAGTGTATTTTTTCAAATCTCAAATAATTTACCTGTTAAAAAAAAGTGTATAAATACATAAACTAATTACACAACCAAATCCAACCCTCTCACATGAAATAAGTTTTACTTAGGTGGATCTTATACCTTCTATTAAAAATTCAATAATTTTCGGACTAAAAGCTCAGACATAAAAAAGTAAAAAATATTTTATTAAAAATACATGTATCCAAACATTATTACTTATTTAAGTATCATTATTACTTCTTTTTTTTTTCTGACAATTAACTATATTTAACCTCTTAAATTTTTAATAATTAGCACTCGAAATTCCACTCGTCAGGTTGGGTTGGGGCCATACTTATTTATTGATATATTTTCGTATTTTGGTCTACAATATTACATTTTTTTAGAGGGAATTTCATTTTGTCACATAAATTCTAATTCAAAAATCAATTCAACTTATATTTTTTTAATAATATCATTTTTATACTTAAATTATTTAATTTTAGATCAATTTTATCCCATTTTTAGTAACTATCTGTAATAAAAAACAAGAGTTGCTGACGTGATACTGAAATTTTGTTTTACTTTCTAAAATATCAATTAAACCTTCAAATTTCATTTTATTTACTGATTTGATTGATATTTTGAGAACAAAATAAAATTTCAAATAAAGTTTGGGTGATACCTAGTAATTTTATTTGATTGTAAACAGCAGTTGACAATGGAATAAAATTAATGCAAAATCGAATAATTCAGATATAAAAATTATTCATATTATTAAAAGTATAGGAGTTATATCAGCTTGCTTGTTTTTATTTTTCAGAAAACACTTTTCAAAAAATTTTACTTTTTTATTTGTCATTTTTTTTGTTTTCACTGAAATTTTTTAATACTTTAAGCAATTTTTTTACTTTTTAGACACACCTAACATAAATACATTTAAAAAGTAAAAAAAAAAATTTTAAAAAATCTTTTTAAAAATTCACTAAATACCAAAAATATATAAAAAAAAAAATACAAGGATTCAGTATATTTTTGTATTTTATATATTTATTAATTTTTTAAAATATTTTTTCACAAATTTTTTACTTTTTAGATACATCTAACTAAGGTGCATCTAAAAAAAAAAATTTAAAATTTAAAAAATATTCACTAAAAACAAAAGAATATCAAAACTAAAAAACTTAATTTTTAAAAAATTTCATTTAGAAAACTCAAACCAACACACTGAATGATTTTTAAGCTATTTTCTTTAATTTTTAACAATTTTTAAGAGAGGACCTGTAGAGAAGCTCGAGTATGAAGCAACCGTCGATCAGCAACATCTCGGCTAGCCTATGCTGAGGAATCTTCTTCTCGATGATGGGTTTCAGGTTATCGGCATAGCAGTTGAAGGCACTGGCTGCTAAGTGCAGCATGGCGGCTGAACATTCCATCAGTGCTTTGTGCATCCAATATCCTTTAACCTCCGGAGAAGCCGATTTCCCGGCAATTCGACAAAGTAGCTCTTCCGTGTAAGCCACTTTGATGTGCTCCATTTCTTTCAGATGTTGTTCCTCTTTGTCATCGTCATTGTTGTTGTGAATTGGGCCGATAGAGACTACCCAAGGGTTATAGGCCCTTTTGTTTAGTTTACGAAGCTCTTTGGAGACCTTGTAAATACAAGGGAACGATAGCGGATGAGAAAGCGATGAATCCTCCGAATAGTTTGTCTGATGAATTGCTTTGATCTTTTCTCTTAGGGAACGTGAGAGGATTTCAATTGCGGACTCTACGCTAGACGGCTCATTGTTCGTCGTCATTGGAGAAAAGCTTTTATGATATGGGAAAGGGGGTTGGTTTCTGGGTCTATATCTAAAAGGCTCATTTGTTTGTATATATATAGAGCAAAAACTTGGGAATTTCTTTTGAGGGCATTTATTTAAAAATACCTCTTCATCTGCTTATAAAATTATTCAAAAAATATTTTAAATATTAAAATTAAAATTTAGTAGATTAAATATTTAAATAATAAGATTTATTAAAATGCTATCATAGGCTAATTGTACTAATTAGGAAAAATGATTTCTTAATAAATTCTTTTTTTATTTTTATTTACATTGATTATAATTCATTGCATTGTTAGAATTTTTTTTTTTTTAGGGTCAAAATTGTAGGATATTAATTGATTAGTAAAGGTAGATTACGCCGCTGCATTATCAACTCAAATCTCTAACCTTTCCCTTATTACATATTAAGCGTAATTATAAGACCACTAAACTAAGACTTGGCTTGGGATCCCCTTAAAAAGATAAAAAGCCAAAAAATTATCAAAAAAGTCAAAAAGTTACCTTATCTCTATGCATTGGGCGGCAAAACTCTGTCTGATTCTGCAGAGGGTAAAATTACATTTCTGCCCTTCCTTTTTGTATGTTGCATCTGAGTCGAATATATCACAAAATATACGCTATCAGGAAGCCCCTTTCCTTCTCCAACCTCCATTAGCAAGAACGGCAAGCAAGACAAAAACCCTCAGTCGGTTGAACAAGTTTAGTACGTCAAAGACACACCGCCCACTGCCGGAGATCCGTCACACCCTTCACCTTGCACCACCGCCACAGCCGTGCCAAAGGCAGACCTCGATGGGATCACCTGAAAACTGTAACCGACAGGAAGGACCATCCCTCGTCCAGATCTGCACCACCGCCGACCAGATCTACACTACTTCGGCCCGTATCCCCCAAAGAACAAGGTAACATCTTTTCCACGCCACTGATTTTGGGCATGTGAACCAAATCTGTACATTTCCCCATTTTCGGCAATTTGGTAGGTACAAAGAAAATCAATGATTTTCCCTGAACCAATTCTGTACATTGCCCCATTCAAAACCGCTATGTAGCTCGAAAATGAGCCCCCCAAATCGGCCAAATTAATACTCTCTCCACTCTCACACTTCCACTTTCCAATACGGCTGTTTCTTTACCTTCTTCATCACTCTCTCCTCTCTCCTCTGTTCCTCCACTTTCCTTTGTCTTTAATGGCTGCCCCATAACCTAACCTCCACTATTCCTTTGTCTTTGTGGGTCGATGTTTTACCCATCTGGGTCTCTCTCTTTTTGGTCAGTGAAGATTACCCGCACAGCCCTTCAAAAAATTTGTAAATTTTTTCTTCTGGGTGTGTGATGGTATTGGGTATTTCAGGTTCTGTAAAGCTTTTGTTTTCTCAGATACGCATTGAGAAATTTTTTTTGTTAATGACATTTTTTTTCCTTTTTTTTTCCCCCCTCCTCCTTATGTGATGATATGCTTCTAATGTTCACAATTTTCGATTTGGATATTTCACAAAGCTTGAGTTTGTTGGGTCTTTAAATTGAAGAATATGTGTCAACCATTTGGGTCTGTTTGTTTTTTGCTCGTTGCACACATCTACAAAACAAAATGGAGATTAGTGTTTCAAAACAATTGGGGCAAATTGGGGCATCATCACTGTGTATTTGGTGATTCAATAGAAGGTTTAAGGTTGAAAATTTGACATTTGAAGGAAATTTCTTGAGTCAGTAATGGTTACTTGTTTCTGGCATCGTTAGCGTATGAGAGGAGTTGGCTCTAGTATGAGAGGGTATGACATTAAGAGGACGATGGGTAGTTTTTAAGTAGAAGGAAATGGATGGCAATTTAAACTACAAACAGACAAATATATCATTGGCAATTGTTTTAAGTAAAAGGAAATGGCACTACTACAAAAATAGTTAAAGATCACACTTTGACAAAAACAAATATCTCACTTTTATTGAAAGTGTGATAAAAAAAATTAGATTGATATTTTAATCACACTTAATTTGATTGAGTGTGATAATATTTATATTTTATGTCACTTTTCAATTAAGTGTGATTATATATACATTTTTTTAATCACACATTCTAATTAAAGTGTGATTATTTATATATATTTTTAATCACACATTCTAATTAAAGTGTGATTATATATACACTATTACTTTTTAATCACACTTTTTAAATAAGTGTGATTATTTATATATATTTTAATCACACATTTTAATTAAAGTGTGATTATTTATATATTTTTTAATCACGCCTTCTAATTGAAGTGTGATTATATATACACTACTACTTTTTAATCATACTTTTTAAATAAGTGTGATTATACATATATATTTTTAATCACACATTCTAATTAAAGTGTGATTATATATACACTATTACTTTTTAATCACACTTTTTAAATAAATGTGATTATTTATATATATTTTTAATCACACAATGTAATTAAAATGTGATTATATCTACATTACTACTTTTTAATCGCACTTCCTAAATAGGTGTGATTGTATAAAATATTTTGAAATTGATTTTTATATAAAATATACAATTCCCAAATTTTTAATCACATTTAATCTGATTGAGTGTGATAATATTTATTTTTTATGTCATATATATAATCACACTTTAAAATATATATATCACTTTCTAATTAGAAGTGTGATTATATATATATATAGGGTAAATTACACTGATACCCCCTGAGGTTTATGTTTATTACAGTTCTCCCCTCACGTTTTGGAAATTACATCTCCCTCCCTAAGATTTAAAGTTTCATTACAGATTCCCCCCTCAACAATTTAATTTTTTTAAAATACTAATTTTGCCCTCACTGGATAAATTACATTGACAACCCTTACATTTTAGAAATTACATTCCCCTCCCTAAGGTTTAAAGTAACATTACCAATTGCCTCTTCGGTTAGTATTAGTTGGAAAAAAAAATTCATTGAAAAAAAATAATTGGGAAAAAAATTAATTGAAAAAAAAAATTGAAAAAAAAAATTGTTAGTAAAATTTGTAAATTTATATTTAAAAACCAACATAAACTTATTTTTTGAATTTACGTTTTTTCCTCAAATTTATAAATTGAGACAACCATTTATTAATCAAAAAAATTATCAAATAAGTTTTTATAACAGTTTTTTAAATTTTTGTAAATATAAATTGAAAACTGAAAACGAAATGGTTGCCAAACAGGCTTTAGATGGTAAAAATGTCGTTAAATTAACAAATAATTAATAAGTTACCAACATAAGAAATGACTTATCAAAAGATTCTTAGGCTATGTATGGTTTGATTTTTAGAAAAAAAATTTAAAAATTAAAAATTAATTTGGTTAAGAAATAAAAAATAAAAAATAATTATCATTTAAGGGTAAAAAATAATTATCATTTTAACTTTTGGGCAGGTTATATGCATACATGTGGCTGTTTCAATTTAATTTGTAAAAAATTATTTCTAACCACTCGAAAGATAAAAATTATATAAAAATGATAATTATTTTTTACCCTTAAATGATAATTATTTTTTAGTTTTTATTTCTTAACCAAATTAATTTTTAATTTAAAACAAAATTCTAAAATCAAACCATATATAGCCTAAGAATCTTTTGATAAGTCATTTCCTACGTTGGTAACTTATTTAATATTGTTAATTTATAACATTTTTACCATCTGAAGCCCATGTTTGCTAAATCATTTATTTTCAGTTTTCAATTTATATTTACAAAAAATTTTAAAAACTGTCATAAAAAACTTGTTTGATAATTTTTTGGTTTATGAATGGTTGTCTCAATTTGTAAATTTGAGGAAAAAACGTAAATTCAAAAAATAAGTTTACGTTGATTTTTAAACAGAAATTTAAAAATTTAACTAGCAAAATTTTGTTTTCAATTAATTTTTTTTTCAAATAATTTTTTCCAATTAATTTTTTGGGTAAATTACATTGACACCTCCCTGGTTCATGTTTATTTGCAGTTCGCCCCCTCACTTTTTGGAAATTACATCTCCTTCCTGAGGTTTAAAAGTTTCATTACAGATTCTCCCCTTCAGCAATTTAATTTTTTTAAATACAATTTTGCCCTCATTGGGTAATTACATTGACACTCCTACATTTTAGAAATTACAATCCCTCTCTTAAGGTTTAAAGTAGCATACAAATGCCCTCTTGGTTATAAGTGGAAAAAAAAATTCATTGAAAAAAAAATAATTGAAAAAAATTATTTGAAAAAAAAATTAATTGAAAAAAAATTGTAGTAAAGGTTTTAAATTTCTGTTTAAAAAACCACGTAAGCTCATTTTTGAATTTACGTTTTTTTCTCAATTTATAAACTGAGACAACCATTTATAAACTAAAAAATTATCAAATAAGTTTTTATTAACAGTGTTTTAAAATTTTTGTAAATATAAATGAAAACTGAAAACGACATGTACAAAACGGCTTGATGGTAAAAATGTCGTAAAATTAACAAATAATTAAATAAGTTACCAACGTAAGAAATAACTTATCAAAGATTTTGTAGGCTATGTATGTTTTGATTTTAGATTTTTTTTTTAAAAATTAAAAATTAATTGGTTAAGAAAATAAAAAAAAAAATAATTATCATTTTAATATAATTTTTATCTTTTGAGTGGTTAGAATAAATTTTTTACAAATTTATTGAAACAGTCATACGTATGTTATAACCTGCCCAAAAGTTAAAATGATAATTATTTTTTCCTTTAAATGATAATTATTTTTATTTTTTTTTCTTGTTCACACTTTTCAGACTTTATTTCTAAATGTGATATATATATATATATATATATTTAATCGCACTCCTAAATAGTATGGTTGATAAAACATTTCAATTTGATTTTAATATAAATATACTATACAATTCGCGCCTTTATTCTACCCATACCCACCATAATGAGAGAGACGACCCTTCCATTCCCCATTGAATTTCACAAACACCATGTCCCTTCTCCTTCTACTTCTTTTTGCCTTCTGTTTTTGAAACGAAGCCCTGTTTATCAGCTCCGAACACCATTGAAGTTACTCACAGCCTCGAACCACATTGAAGTTACTCAAATTTGTCTTTTGAAATCACAAACCTCTTGAATTTCTGGTGAGTTCTCTTTTTTTATGTCCCTTCTGTGTGTATATATTTATGATTATGGTTATTATTAGTGGAATTTTATAGATATAGGTTTTTATGCCCCCTTCTGTGTGATATGGGTTATTTTTAGTGGAATCTGTAGGTAAGTTTTCAATACCCCCTTTCCACGTTCAAGCTGAGTTCCTATGCCTTCATTAGACTCAAAGAACTGATACTTCGTATAAGCTAAATAGATGCAAGGCAAAATTCTAGATCTAAGTTGGAATGTAAGCTCTTCATTTTCGGGAAATCTTTATAGTGAATCATCGTCAATTACTACACATTTCAGGGTGTACTCAGAGAAACAATAAAGCATGCTAAAACTTGTCATGTGTGAACATTTTAGAATATGGGTGTTGAGGAAAACAATTAATTACTCCCAGAAAGGACTTGCATAATAAGACAAGGAGTTGGACTAATTAATTTTCTTCTCTGTATGTGTATTTATCCTCTTGTGGTATTGGATATGGATATGTATTTGATTGGTCTTTTAACTTGTTGGGTGTATTGTATTTGTATGTATGCTAAGGATGTGTATTTGGTTGGCCTTCTATATATTTTGGAATTTGCTTTTCTGTTCTTCCGTCGGTTCTTAATTATAGAAACTTGCTATGCTTGGATCATTTGAAGGTTGCTATCCTTCCTACTCGAACCAGACGAATGATGATTGTCACTCTTTGCAACCAGTGGTTGAGTGCCGAAATAGCGAAACTCACTACTCTATTGGCCTCTGTTAAGTGTCATTATATATATTTATTTTATAAATTTTCCTTTTCACCAAAGTAAAATTAAAATAAAAAAGGTTTGTTGTATCAACTTATCCATGTCATTTGTATCGATGGGTGTCCTGTGTCCAAGCACATGCAGCATTGCATTTAACATTGAAGTTCCAGATTAGCTGGTTAGACTAGTGAACCAGAAATTCCCATTCAAATTGGATGTGTTTTACATGGCTAGAAAGGGTAGACAGAGTCATATTTTTCTTTCTCTATTTTTTTATGGTTTGGAAGGTAATAAGTTATGAACGTTAATTTTTCTTTGTTTTTGTTAAAGGTGACTTGTTTGCTCTGCAACACTTTTCAAGTACTGATTCTATAACTCTATTAATTTAGAATATTTAGCAAAAAGGCTGGAGTTGATGAAGCTTCATTTAGTATTGGTTGGTACTTTGTAGTTCTTAACTCTAACTTAGATAGTTTATGCTGTTTGGTTGAGTTTTTCAGAATTTGTTTCTAATTTTTTTTTTCAAAAACAAGTTCAGTTGAAAAAAATTAAAAAATAATCATTATTTTCATATGTTTTTCTCTTTATGGGGCATAAATAATCTTTGAAAATTTTAATTTTTTTTAACGGTGTATTTGAAAAAAAAAAAAAAACTAGTTTCTAGTTTTTCAAAAAGATTTCAAAAAACAAGTTTTGGAAACTCAATAGAATATGTAAGGAAAAAGTTTTGCATGTCAAAGGTGAGGCATGAGCTGTTGTGCTTGGGTGCTTAATGATTTGGTCCCATGATGAGATGGATGTAAGAAAAAATTCATTTATCTTTAACTTGGAGATTGATATATAGAGAGAACAAAAATTGTCTGACCTCCCCAAAAAAATTCATTTATGAAAGGCTTGCTTTCTTAAAAAAAGAATTATTTTGTTTGGGTGAACCACATAAATCTCTTATGTTTCTTGTTTGAGTGTTTGATCTTCTTGTCCCTTTTTAGATTAATTGTGTGTGTGATTGTTTACCCAAGTCGTGGAGATTGGTATTATTTATTAATTCCATAACAGAATCTTTATACGCTCATTCATGGGATCCATGTTCAACACCTTTTTTTTTTTTGTTTTTCAATTTTGCTTGATCATGCTTGGTTGTTTATAGTCCTTGGTTGTTGAGGTAAATGAGGGCAAAAATATAAAATAATTAAAAATATAATACCTAATAATTTTAAGATGTAAAATTGTATAGCATAGGTGCTGTTGAGCGCTATCATGCCTACCCATTTTGAAAGTTACACTCTTGTGCTATTGCTCCTGCTCCTCAAATTGGTATGGCAATTATTCTTCAATTTCCTAAAAAATTGGAAACTTTTCTTTTATCTGTAGAGATGAATGGAGGGAACCACAGTCTCTGTGGATATTCTCTGCATATCCTTTTGTTTACCGATCCCTTCATCTTTGTCTTTGTTACTACTATCAGATACTAGACAAAGCCATCTGTTGACTGTATAACCCTTCTAGGGGAAATCTTTAACATTAAACTTTAGTGCTTTTTATCAACTCTTTATGTTATAATTTGATAGGTCAATGTGAATGGACCTGTGGGTCTGTATACTTTACTATTTTTATCAACTCTTTATGTAACCAAAATTGCTACATATACAACAACCTAGCCAAAACTATAAAATGCCGTAACTACATAGCAAAAAACCTTCAGCAAGTAGCAAAGAAAGCAGCATGAGCAAGACATCAAATGAATATATATATATATATATAAATATATATATATTTACACCTTCAAATCATTGATCCCCTCTCTCATGAATTGGTAAGTAGCTTAGACATTTTGTGTGGCTTTCTGTGACTTCTTTGGAACTATTGCATTCACATTCAAAGTGTTATTGTGCATCTCATGCAATTCTTCTAGGTTTTCTTACAAAAGTACATGATTGGGTAAAGATTTTGTTGATGGTTGGTGGGCTTAACAGAGGGTGGAGAAGTCTACATGATTGGGTTATTCTTACTGATTTTATCTTTTTCTTTTTATTTTTGGTAACTGATAAGTTTCTCTTTCTCTTTGCTCTCTTATTTACTCTACAGATTTGTTTCTCTTTGCTCTTTTATTTACTAATATATATATGCATTTTATTTTGGTTGACATGGATATGGATTTGGATTTATAGATGTGTCTTGAATTTTGGATTTGCTATCAAGGTGTTGCTTATTTGGTAGGTTATGCCTTATTTTGAAAGTTCTTGGGAATTAGTTGTTTAAAGTCTCCCTCTAGTAACGTGCTATAATTATTCAGTTTTAAAAGCCCTCTCTCATGTCACTTACACTTAGATGTACACTTAACCCAAACCAAACCAAACCAAGCCTTAAGGCCCATCAAACAACAATTTTAACATCTACACTAAAGATCGCTCCAATAACTCAGAAGCTGGTAAGAAGTTTCAACTTTTAAGCACTAACAATGATTTTCCAGCATTGACGACCTGGCTAGTGCCGATTTTTTTGCAACATGGTCTACTGTATTTTTGTGAAGAATTCAAATTAATACAATTCTGTTTCAGTCATTTGTTGTACTATTTCTTGACAAATTTCTATATAGGTAAACTTCAACTATATATAGTATATAGTCTTTTACACTTGTGAATCACACATTTTCCTAAAACTTCTTGTTATGCTAAGGCTTTTAATCTTGCATTATTATGGGCATTTTAGAGTCATATTTCTGTAACTAGCTTCTTGTTTGGATAGGAGGGGTTTGATAATATGTTTATCAGTTGTTTGATGAAATGGTTATGTGAGATTGTGAACATATAGTCAGAAGGAGTGGCTAGTAGACAAGTTATGTTGAGCTTGTGAGTTTGTTTGTTTGTTTGTTTTTTGGACAGCATGAAAACAAAGAATCTGCCCCAAGTAGAGTGTTTTGAGATAGGGAGACATGAATTTGGTGACAGATGATTTTTGGCTCAAAATGAAGTTCATTGTGAGGAAAGTAGAACTTATATCTATAAGTTGCTTTGAGACTTGTATTTTGTTTTCCTGTTTTGTCCTTTCACTTTACCGGGTTTGTCTAATTTGAATGAAGGTTTTTTTCTTAATTATACAAAGAGTCTTGTATATATGTTTATATATATTCTTATAACTATCGTAGCAACCTACATAGTTTAAATTTTAAAATTTCACCTATTTTTTTTTTAAATTAAAATAAAATTTTCATTATATAAATCTTGCACAATCATTCATCATGAAATAGTTTATTGGGACAGGTCTCTAATTACTTTGCATAGTAAAAATGTTGTCAAAAAAATATTTTCCAAAACGAAATTGCTATTATGCTATACATACCATCATAATTTTTGTACAAGAGAGCATTTTTCATTTAAAATATTCACGAGTAAATATTATGCATGGCAATGCTCTGTCACATTTCTTTAACACAAGTAAATAAATTGAGATGATAAAATACCAGTGTTTTATGAATTACGAATTTAATTAAAATTTGTTTATTTTATTAGTCATCTCCATCAAGTGTTGAAGGCTTCCAATTGGAGGAAGTCGTTAGTGAAAAAACTATGGCTGGGGAGAAATCAAAATCAGTGTTGCTTGCAAGAAGGTTAGAGGAGGCTATGCTAGAACAATTGGTTTTAATTCCTTATAATATTGGATAATTATCTAAAACTATTTATTTCATGTGTTCAAATGATAATAAACTTATTAAGCTTATACTTTTGACTTGTTCAATTGTAGGTACCATTGGATATTGTTAGTCATTGATCTAACATTGATGATTGTGTACTGACATTCAAAAGTAATTGTTTAGATTGCAAAAGTGGCATGTCATCCAAATTAAAGCTTACACTGTTTTAAAAAGAAAGAAAAAAGTACAAGGTACAAAAAAAATGAGAAAAACATCAAACTAAGACTCTTCGACGTCTCTGGCTGGTTGGGTCTGGAGTTCAGAAGACAGCTGAGAAGACATCTCGGCGATCCTCTCACTGGAATTTCTTTTGTAAAGTGCTTTGAAAATTTATGAAACTACCCAAAGGAGGAGGAGGACCAATCCAGTTTGGAAAGTAGTTCAGGTAATCAATATCATTTTCTCTAATTTTATCATACTTATATTATGCTAATGATTGTTCAGCTTGATCATAACACTTTATATATAGTTTCTAATAATAATGAAAATACTTTTATGTAGTCCCCGCAACAACCTACAAACGTGGAATGTGGGTTTTATGTAATGCGGTATATGAAAGACCTCATTAGAGATCAAAGTATCCTAAGAAAACAAAATGTGAGATAAATTCTAAACTTTTATTACTGTTATATTCATGATACTTGTACATCTTCTTCATTATCTAATTGTTTGTAAATAACCTCTTGTAGTTCAATGGAAAAAAGACTTACACGGAAACCGAACTTGATGAAATGCGAGTTGAATGGATTAATTTCGTACTAAAGAATATGAGTTGAAACCCAACGTAAGTATGATATAACTTCCGTTCTTTAAATTACTAATCAACAATTTCTTTAATTGGTAAAGAATATATAATCACTTTAAGATTTCATTTTAGATTTGTTGATTCAATGTATATTTGGTTTTATGACTTTAAAATATTTGCTCATACATTGAAGATTTTCATTTTGGATTTATTGATTCTATGTATATGTCATATTTTTCTATGGTAATCCAAACAGTTTATATTAGTAACAACCAAAGTTGTTATTCATTTTCTATTGATGCAGGAGATGAAGAGTCAGCGTGATGAGAAAATGTTCGATTTTATCTTTTGTAAGTCTCTACAAAAATATTAAGTTTATTCATATGCTTCTAGCGGTTTCTGAATTAATTTGTGTTTTTATTTTTCAGGTCAGAAATTTCTTGGAGAAATGCAAAATATGGTCAAAGAATTCAACAACTTAGTTTTTTCAAGTTTTTTATTTTTATTTTTTAATATATGTAAGCACAGTTAAAAACTTTTTACTAATTCCTTTGTATATACTTTTTGAACATTTAACTTTCATTTATGAAATATATGACGCTATTCCATTCAATATATGGTTGTGATTCAAAATATAGTATATAGTGTGTATTACATTCTTCAAATACATATAACATGTGACCTTATCTGATTATTAATCACGTGTTTTATTAGATATTAATCACACTTAAAATCTGTGATCTAAATGTATATTATCACAGGTTTTATTATTTATTAATCATACTTAAAAGATGTGATCTAAATATTTTAATCACTTAAAAGGTGTGATCTAAATGTTATTAATCACACTTAAAATGTGTGATCTAAATATTTTTAATCACACTTAAAAGGTGTGATCTAAATGTTTTTAATTACACTTAAAATGTGTGATCTAAATATTATCAATCACACTTAAAGGTGTGATTAAAAATGACCCATTTTAATCACGCTCTCAAAGATCACACTTTAATAAAACTAAAAAGGTGTGATTAAATAACAAACATCACACAAAAAAAGTGTGATCTTTATCTGTTTTTGTAGTAGTGTGGATGGAAATTTGTTAAATAAATATTGTTATTTACCATTTTCATGTTGTCACAATGTTCCTTTTTGACATATTCACAATTACTGTTGCATTGTAGTACCGAAATGGAGCACTCACAATCGCAGTCGACACCTTCGAAACATTTGCGTAAGCGTGGTGGTAAACAGTCTCAACCGTAGTCCGCAAATGTGCACAAAGCAAATTGGGACTCTGACACGGTGCACATGTTCTTGCAACTTGCCATCAAAGAGTTGGACAATGGTTTCAAGGGCAGCTTCCATACAATGACAATGCACGGATACAGGGCTGTTGCCAAGGCCTTCGAGGAGCGTACACATAAGGTTCATGATGTGAAGCAACTGCAAAACAAGTACGCGTTACTGAAAAAGGATAGGCAGTTGTGGTCACGGCTAATGGACAGCAGGCATGGGCCAACCGGCATAAGTTACAATGAAGCAACTGGTTTGATACAAGCATCCGACGACTGGTGGGCCCATTATGAAAAGGTAACAATTCCATATTATTCTTTGTAATATCCAACGTGATAGTCATGCATATGTTACAATATATATTTATAAAAATTCTTCATTAATATTTCTATGTGACCAAAAACAAGAAGTAAACTTGGTTAGATTTTTCACCCCAACAACTGTTGTTATACTTGCCAAGTTGCCTATCAGTCTCTCTGTCTCCCTCCCTATGTATGACTATTTTGTGAAATGTGATCCAGCTTGCTTTGTCTCTCTCAAACTGATCTTCACAGAGATTCTAATGATATTGAGCTTTTTGTATTTTTTTTAATAATGTTGAAGTACCTATTAACTTATTGAGCTGATCTAAATAAATTAACAGGCTTTACTATACAATCAAACTTGGTTTGTTTTGTATATATCAGAAGCCAGTCCCTAATGTCAAAATTCTTACTTATCAAAAAAAAAAAAAAGGAGAGAGAGACAGACAGACAGACAACATAATAATAGTTCACTCACTAAGCTTTGTTCAATTATAAGTTTATCACCTTTCCTCAATCCCATATAATGTTAACATGACTACTTGACAGTTCTGACGATTCCCCTTAGCTTCTATGCTTTCAATATAGTTTCACATTTTTTATTTGTTCTCAATTTAAAAAAAAAAAAATTTCTAGGCTGACCCCGTCATTTTGTAAGGGAAAATGTGTTCACTGGTTGGCTTATGTGGTCTTCTTGTTCTGATTTTCACTTGGCGAAACAATCTTAACTTAACTTTCAATTTGTATTTTCATTATTGGTGCCACCTCTAGCTTTCCAAGATTGTGTACATGTCTTCTTTTCTATTCAAATCTTGGCTGCGTTTAATTGATAGGAAATGAAAGAAATACGAAAATGAAAACTATTTTTCTTTCCTGGATACGAAAATGTGGGTTCCACCATTGTCATTTTGTTGAAGAAAGTATTTTTCCTTAAATAATTTACTATATATAAAAATTGATTATGTATTGTGGGAGAGTTATAAAAATTTTTGACTGTCATAAAAGTAACCTGTCCCGCAGACTGATAAAATATGAAAACTTGTCCCACTGACTGTCATAAAACAAGCCAGACTTTTATTTTCTTGTCATATATTAGGCATGAGCTAATGAGCTTTGAAATAGCTCTGAAATTGAAGCCCTTATCAGGATATTATGTTTTTGGGCTTTCTATGAGTTGGGTTGTGGAAGGAAAAGACGGAGGAGGGGGGGGGGGGAATTTGGAGACCGATGATGATTTCTGGGTTTGCCTATAGGGTTTGGGAAATATGGGATTAGGAAAGGGAGAGTCTTGGGATGTGGGCAAACCAAAGAGTAGGAAGAAGAAAAATGATGCTATGGAGGAGACTGGGTGTTGGGTTTGGTTGAGGTTTATTGGCAGCTGTATTTCTTCAAGATGTAAAGTGGATAGCTCTATTAATGGCATTAGTACTCATTGTGGTAATCTTTTTTTTCCCTCTGAAAAGTTTTTATGTTCTGCTAAAACTGCACTTTCTTATTGCCATATATTTTGTGGTCTCAATCAACTTCATTTGCTTTTCTGAAGGAATTATAGGTAGTGCAAGTTCTGTTCATATTTTATAGATATATGTTGTTTGTTTAGCTCCTGCTGTTTCTTACTAGAGTTAGAATGCATCAGTAGTACTATCTTGGTTGTGCAAATATTGCTTCAAGTTTGGTGGAATGTGGTAACAACTTATAAATGTTAAAGAGATTAGAGGGACAACTTATAAATGTTAAAGAGATTAGAGGGACAGTATACGAAAACCATGAACATAATGTGGCAATGCAATCAGGTCACAGCACTGCAAGAATTCATGCAATCTGGTAACAACTTATAGCTAAACCTATAACATAAACATGCATCATGGCTGCTGTTGTGTTTCTCCTCATTCCTTGTTTTAAGTTATGTTTACGTGTTTTGGTTTTACCCAGATTGACAAGAATGCACTGAAGTTCAAAACGAAACCGTTGGAGCATATGGACCTAATGCGAAGGGTGTACGAAGGTGCAACGGCAACCGGGAAATTTGCATGGACACAAGGGGCAGCGTTCGAACCTGTCGCCACGGAAGACAATCCTTTGCTGGTAGATGAAGAAGACTGCGAAGACAGCAGTGGTTTGCCCCTTTTCCAGCCATCCGCGCAGCATGCACACACTGTCCACCACAGTCCTGCGCAAGAGGAGGACACCCCGGTCGCTGTACATGCTGCGTCATCGACAATTCACGGTGATGACACACCTACGAGTGGCGGGAGCAAACGCAAATTCAGTCTCACAACACGCCTACAGCGGAAAAAATGGCAGAGTGAGGGAGCGTCGCTCTTGGCGAGTAGCATGGAAAACCTTGCGTCTTCAGTTAAATTACAACAACGAGACGTCCGCGTGCATCATGAGTATGGAGATTCGGCCTTGAACTGCATTCGCAAGTGTATGGCAAGGTTGTACTCCCTACAAGACTTGGACCCGCAAGACCCACTAATCCCTTACGATTTGACGCTAATGGACAATCCGGCGAATCAAGCAATATTGTTGTAGATTCCGACAGACGCTGCAGTCATTACTTGGCTACGAATGAAGAAGTCCGCGAATATGGGTGGCCCATCAGCACCAATTCATGGCCCCAAAATGACTGGGTGGTTCTGACGACTGTAGTCACCGGAAAGGGTTCATGTTCCATTACGGATCTGCTGTTGTTTTCTACCATGTTGCTACCTCCTATGTTTGTTTTACATTTATTTTTTCCCCTGCCAACAACCCGTAACTGTGTGTATTTTCTTTTCCTTCCCTTACAAACAGATTGGACAGTGGCTGTAAGATTTTTTTATTATGGAATCGGTGTGTGATGTGTTGGATGTTGTATTACTTTTTATGCAACAGGCACCTTATTTATAAATGTGTTTGGATTCCTGTGTTTGAAGGGATGCTGTCAAAATTCTTATTGAACTGTGATGACCCATTTTTTATGTGTGTTGTATATCTATGGTGTATGCATGAGTTGGGTTTACAGTTATGGTTTGAACTGGAAAATCAGATATGTAATTGAGATGCAATTACAGAGATGCAATTGCACCATCCACCACACTCCAATAGAGGCAAATCAGAGATACAGATGCTGACTAACATTGTTGTGAACAGAAGGAACATTACAGGATCCTCCAACCTCCATTCATTTGAATACTTTTCTCCCCCTCTGTTTCTGTTTTGGTTTGAAAAACAATACTACCTATCCTGTTTTTCATTTGAATAAAAAATAACAACTTCAAGTCTAATTAGATAAAATTGTTTTAAGAATGAAAAAAAAAATGCTACGTCATCAGTCATTTGATCTTAATTTTCAGAATTCAATTTTATAGAAAAGTTTTTTATTTTTCGTAATTTTTTGTTTAGT